GCAGGTCTGGCAGCATGATACTTTACTGATATTTTATAATGGTTCACCATCACTTCTTTGCTTTTGTACTCTATCCTCATTTATTCAGCCCAAGATTCCATGTATTTTGTTAACTGGTTTCTGAACCTGCCGTGCTGCCTTTCCCAATTGGTACACATAAATCCCTAGGTACCTCCTGACCCTGCAAACCTATCACTTACTATTGCACCTTTTACTTTATATTATCTGTCCTTTTTCATTTTACAAAAAAGCATCATTTCACAGACTTATGCTTTCAATTTCATTTGCCAAGTGTTTGCCCATTCCACCAACCTGTCCATGGACTCTTGAAGTATATCACTGTGTTGATCATAGTTCACCAAACCTCCAAGTTTTGCATTATCTGCAAATTTGAAATTGTACCAAGTCTAAGTTATTAATGTAGGTCAAGGAAATCCATAATCACAATATTAACTCTGAGGAAACCCCATTATATATCTGCCCTGGTCTGCAAAACAGCCATTCATCGCTATTCTTGTTCTATGTTAGTAAACCAATTTTATATCCTTGCTGTCACTCTCCCTGTTACTCCATGGGTTGCAAATTTGCTGCATGTCTGGTATGTGGCACTTTCGTTTGGCAGTGCAGCGTGTCACTCTACCAACTAGCTTTGGAAAATGAACCTTCAGAGTTGAAATTGCAAAATCAGGCGTCAAATGGTCTTTGGTTTTAGGTTGAGCCATTTTCCTTCTTCTTTAGGAGGCATGGTTGCTTACCCATGAGCGAGGGTTAAAAGAAGAGGTCCGCAAAGGAAGAGACAAGGAGATCGAACTTGTTATCCAGCGTCTGGAGGAGGAAGTCAGAGTTTCTAAGCAGGAGTGTGAGAGAGTAGCGGAGAATACGTGAGAACATTTTCAAAATTTCTTCTTGCAAGAATTTATATCCGATAAGAAATTCACTGTATCTTGTGTAAAGAAACTGAAACTAATATTTTAAAGAGACATATAACAAAAGTGATGTCATAACATCAGGAGACTTTAATGCCTGAACATTAAAATTGTAAACAATCTAGGTGCTCTGTGCAACTTGTTTACTCAGTTTTATAGATGTATAACTTGTGATCCAACAAGCCTGATTTAGTGTGCAGCATGGAGACAGAATACATAACTGGAATATCTAAATGATCATTTAGATAATACTTTGATGGACACTATGTAAACATAGAGACTGGCTGAAATGAAGAATAGTCTGTTTCTTAGAGTCTGTGACCACATTTGATCTCTAATGTTTTATAGTGGAATTGGGGAGGGTTTGAACAAATTTTGAGAGGGAGGGGATGAACTTGTGACTACTAACCAGAAAAGAACTGCACCTTAATCATAGGACAGACATAAACAACAGTGTCATTAGAGAGATAGTGCTAAAAATTTCTGTCATCACATTGAGGAAAACAGCACAACTGACGTCAGAGATATTACATTGTATTTATGTGAGTGTTTTCTGTGTTACTAATACAGTTAGGGTGTTGCAGGCAGGAGTTGTCACATGAGACTGTGAGCTTGCATTAACAGAAATGGAGCAGAGAAGTAAGGCTACAAATGGGTTCTTAATATTCCATATTACCAAGTATTCAGGTATGCTCGAGAGGGAAAAGAGGAGTGAAAGTGGCAGGGCTAATGAAATTTATTTTTGCAGTTTTAAATAGAAGGGATACACTAAATGGTTCTAGGGCTGAATCCATTTGGCTTAGGTTCAGGGGATGAGAGGGGTTGTTTTACATCGCTGAAGATTTTGTCAGAAAGCTCAAACGGTGGGAAGGATCTAGAGAAGCAGGCTTGGCTAATTTCAAAGGCATGTAACAAAAGTAAAGTATTTGATTATAGATGATTTCAATGACTTTGTGGTAAGAGTAGAGAATGGAAGCAATTTCTGTTGTCATTAGAGAGGTTTCCTGATCAAGTTGTTTTCAGTCCAGCAGCGAAGAAAGCAGTGTTGGTTCTAGTTCACAGAAATAAAGTGTGGCAAATGGCCACTTTCGATCATTCACAACATAATTCTGTTTGGAGTAATTATTGGAAAAAGACTTCAAATTGTCAAAGTTAAAAATGCCCAACTAGGGAAGAGAGAGTTCCAGTAGTTTAGAAAAGCTCCTAGCATCGATAACATTGGAAAAGGTTGTTGCAGGATAAAGCTGAAATGGACTAATAGAAGGTGTTCAGAGAAGGTCCAGTTCGAGTACAAATTAGGCATATTCCTCTGAAATTAAAAGGTTAAAACATCTAAAGCCAATCTGTCTTGAGTATGAAAAGAAACAAAAATCAAATAAAACAGAATAAGTAGACTTGGAGACAATAAGCACTGCAGATGCTGGAAGCCAGAGTGTATAGGTGTGAGGCTAGAAAAGCACAGCAGGTCAGACAGCATCCAAGGAACAGGTAAGTCACCATTTCAGGCCAAAACCCTTCGCAGGACTGGGGAGGGGAGCCCAGAAATAAATAGAGGGAGAGGGGTGGGACTGTGAGAAGGGTAGGAGAGATGGTGATAGGTGAATGCAGGTAGGGAGTTATTGTGATTGGTCCGTGGGAAGGGTGGAGCGGATAG